CCATTCCTTCTGAAGAACTGTTAGAAGGAGACCTTTGGGCTAGGAGAGTGGGAATGGGAGGGAAAACCTGTGAGCACAGCAATGGCTACCTTTGCTGTTTTTATTGAAAAGTACCATTTTGCTACAAGAATTGAAAACAGTGAATACCTTTATTTATTTATTTATATTAAAAAATTTTAATGTTTAATTTTGAGAGAGAGAGAGCAAGAACATGAGTGGGGTAAGGGCAGAGAGAGAGAGGGGTACAAAGAATCTGAAGCAGGCTCTGTGCTGACAGCAGAGCCTGATGTGGGGCTCATACTGACAAACTGTGAGATCATGACCTGAGCCAAAGTCGGCCGCTTAACCGACTGAGCCACCCAGTCACCCCAGGATACCTTTATTTATTTATTTTTAAGTTTCTTTGATTGAGAGAGAGTGCATGAGCCAGTGGGGGAGGGGAAGAGAGAGAGGAGAGAGAGAATCCCAAGCAGGCTCTGCACTGTCCACACAGAGCTTGGTGCAGGGCTCAATCTCATGAACCTCAAGATCACGACCTCAGTCAAAATCAAAAGTTCAACCCTTAACCCGACTGAGCCACCCAGGTGCCCTGAATATCTTTATTTTATTTATTTACTTTTTTAACGTTTACTTATTTTTGAGAGAGACAAAGTGCAAGTAGGGGAGGGGCAGAGAGAGAGGGAGACACAGAATCTGAAGCAGGCTCCAGGCTCCAAGCTGTCAGCACAGAACCCTGACGCAGGGCAGGCTGTCAGCATAGAGCCCGATGTGGGGCTCGAGCCCACGAAATGTGAGATCATGGCCTGAGCTGAAGCCAGATGCTTAATTGACTGAGCCACCCAGATACCTCCGGAGCATTCACATTTTTATGTGGTTGTTATTGTGAACATTCTACTTTATGTGCCTTTTTAAAAATGTAAGCCTTTGAATTTTTATTTATTTTAAACGCCTGTTTTTAAAATGTTTGTTCATTTTTTAATCCTTTTTTTAAATGTTTATTCATTTTTGAGAGTGAGAGAGCATGTGCATGCATGCACGTGCCTGAACAGGGGAAGGGCAGAGGGGGGTGGCCAGAGGATCTGAAGCAAGCTTTGGGTTGACAGCAGAGAGCCAGATGCAGGGCTCTAATTCACAAACCAAGAGATCATGACCTGGGACACGTGTATGGCTCAGTCAGTTGAATGTCTGACTTCGGCTCACATCATGATCTCACAGTTCATGGGTTCGAGCCCGCATCAGGCTCTATGCTGACAGCTCAGAGCCTGGAGTCTGCTTCAGATTCTGTGTCTCCATCTCTCTCTGCCCCTTTCCTGCTTTCACTCTGTCTCTCTCTCCCTCAAAAGTAAATAAACATTAAAAAAAATTTTTTTTTAAATAAAAGAGATCATGACCTGAGCTGAAGTCAGAAGCTTAAATTACTGAGCCATCCAGGTGCCCCTAAGCTTTTGAATTTTAGTGTGCAGTGTTTTTTTGTTTTTTGTTTTTGCTTTTGATATTTATCCATTTTAAGAGAGAGAGAGCAGGGGAGGGGCAGAGAGAGGAAGAGAGAGAAAGAATCCCAAGCAGGGCCCAAACCCAAGACCATGACTTGAGCCAAAACCAAGAGCCGGATATTCAACCAACTGAGGCACCCATGCGCCTTGCAGTTAGTTTTTATATGATATATTGTTTATTAACATTCCAGAGTTTTCCTGACTGTTCCCAGACTTGGGATATCTGACTTGTTTCCAATGCTTTGCCATTAAAGATAACTCATCTATAAACATCTTACTGAAGTGTATATTCTCTATTCTCTCTGAGACTCTGAGACTGTTTCTTTACCTGTGAAATGGAAATGATTGTATTTATCACTTAGGTCTGTTGTGAGGTTCAAAGTGAAGTTAAAGCTATGAAAACATTTTATAAACTAGAATGTATTAGGAAGAGGTATTGTTTTTGGTTTTGTATCAGTGATTACTTCTCTTTTTTGAATTGTTTTGTTGGGTTGTAATCTCCAAAATGAGCTCATTGGTTCAAAGGTTGTAACCCAAGATAATCCATTAATTCAAAATTAATTCTTTCAGAGGCACCTGGATGGCTCAGTCAGTAGAGCATGTGACTCTTGATAAAGACTTGTTTATGAACCTTAAGGGAAAGGACATAGCTGAGATTATATAATAGCTACTTTTTGTATATGTGTGTTAAGCTTTTCCTTTTATGAAACATTGGTGTTAATAGATGTTCATGGGGTTTTTAAAAAGTTTATTTTTAATGTTCCTATTTTTAATATCCTTACCAGTCAAGATCGCTTCTCCAGCTTGGGGGATATATAATGGTACATGAAATCATAAAGCATGAAAACCACTGATTTTCATTTTAACTTTATATTATCCATCTGAGTTTGCAATGTGTTGTGATGTAACTTAACTGGATTTTCATAATACAATAACCGTATAATGGAAGTGGGGTAGGGATCTATCAGTTGAGGACCTCTGGGGAGCAGACACTGAGATAGAGTTAGGAATGCCTGTGATAGATCAAGGGGCTAGCAAAGTTGGGGGCGGTGAGAGTCTCAGCTGAGCCAGTGAGAAACTCAGAAGCAAAGATTGCCTAATAGAGGAATCCTTGTTGGACAGAAATGGCTAGGCCCCAGTACCCCTATGCTTATCATTAGCTGGGGGACTGCCCAGGAAGGATGGGACTGAGGTGGATCCTGGAGGAGCTGTCAGCTAGCTGCATTCTTTGCAGCTGAATGACAAGTTCTTTTCTTTTCTTTTTTCTTTTCTTTTCTTTTCTTTTCTTTTCTTTTCTTTTCTTTTCTTTTCTTTTCTTTTCTTTTCTTTCTTTCGAGAGGGAGAATCTTAAGCAGGCTTCATGGAGCCCCAAAGAGCCTGATGCAGGGTTTGATGTCATGAGTGTGAAATCATGGCCTGAGCCAAAATCAAGAGCTGGACGCTTAACCAACTGAGCCACCCAGGCGCCCCCATAAGCTCTTTCTTGAAGAAAAATCTCTGAACGGACACCTCTGTGGCTGCCACAGCATCTTTTCTGTGACTGACTGACTTGGTGAAGAATAGGAAGGAGGCAGTGAAGCTAGGACTCTGATCCCACCTCTGACCATTGTACTGTTCTTTGTGTTTGTTTCTACTGAATGATTCTCCTATGAAAGAATTGAGTGCATTCAGAAATGCATAGGACAACATTTAGTAGAGGAGAATAAGACAATCAGATTGTAAGTGGTCTGGGAGAGGAAGATGAGACCAGACTGAGTAGCTTCTAGTTAAATGAATGAAAAGAGTGAACTGTAAGTTTTCTGTCCCTGGCTGATTTTTTTAATAGTGTGTTCCACAGCTGAAACACCTGTGAGAGCTCTGTTATTCCAGTTCTTTTTTTTTTCAACGTTTTTATTTTTATTTTTGGGACAGAGAGAGACAGCATGAACGGGGGAGGGGCAGAGAGAGAGGGAGACACAGAATCGGAAACAGGCTCCAGGCTCTGAGTCATCAGCCCAGAGCCCGACGCGGGGCTCGAACTCACGGACCGCGAGATCGTGACCTGGCTGAAGTCGGACGCTTAACCGACTGCGCCACCCAGGCGCCCCCAGTTCTTTTTTTTTTAATGTTTATTTATTTTTGACAGAGAGACAGAGCATGAGTGGGGGAGGGGCAGAGAGAGAGGGAGACAGAATCTGAAGCAGGTTCCAGGCTCTGAGCTGTCAGCACAGAGCCCGGTGCGGGGCTCAAACCCACAGACCGAGAGATCATGACCTGAGCCGAAGTGGGACGCTCAACCGACTGAGCCACCTAGGCGCCCCTGTTATTCCAGTTCTAATGAATAGGCCCAAGATTGCCAGCTTGCTTCATAACCTGAAAGCTTTATAATAGGTCTTCTGACCCGTTTCTTCTTCTGCTTTGCCTGTGTCTTTCTGGTTTTGTCAAAACTGCAGGGGATTAGAACCTGAGGTCCTGTGTCTCTTACATAACATCTTCCCTTCTCATGTCTGCAAGGGCTGCTCCTTTGCTATCTCCTTTCCCCTCCCCTATCTTAGTTTGGTTGCCAGGTAATAGGTAGTCAGGTAACAGGTAGCTCTTACTACCTCTGTTAATTTTGCCTTTCAGGTAAAGTGGTGATGTGTTGAAAGCAGATGTTTGAGTACTCTGCTGGGCCAATTTTACATATACTGAATCTTTATATAGAATTGATCTACAGTGGAGGAGGCAAGATATAGGGGAAGGAGAGATGGGACTGTATGAGGTTATCTTTCTTATTAGAGCCTCGCAGACATGGCTTTGTCTCTCTTGTTAGAAGACTTTATCATTTCACACCTTGTAGTGCCAGAGTGGGATGCTGTGTCTTATTTTGAGGAGGATGTGCTAGTTCAGCATCTTTATGGACCGTTCTGTTGTCAGCTTCCTAGGCTGCCACTTGGAGAGAGCAGACAGGGAACCCCTTCAGTCTGGGTGTGTGTGCGTGTGTGCACATAGGTAAGCACACCAGTGATCTGTCTGGAAAAGCTGGAAGGGGCGCCTGGGTGGCTCAGTCAGTTAAGCATCCGACTCTTGATTTCAGCTCAGGTCTTGATCTAAGAGTTGCGAGTTAAAGCCCCACACTGGGCTCCACACTGTGGAGCCTACTTAAAAAAAAAAGAAAAAGAAAAAGCTGGATGTAGCTAAGGAGATAATCAGAGATCTCACACACTATACCTACCACACTGAACCCCAGGTCTCAGGGTCTACAGGTCCTATGAGAAAGGGCATTGAAGAGAAGTCTCCCTTCAGACTTTATAGTTGGTCATTCAGTGAATGTTTTACAGGCTCACTCTTGCTGGGCTAAGCGTTCAGAAAGTAGATTAGCACTAGGAGGGGGTAGAGGATAGCAGGTAACCTGGAGAAGTAGACCAGTTACATAAATGCAAGGAGATAACATCAAGCATTAAACCTCAGTGTCTTGGATACTATCCATTTCCTCTGGGGGAACAGGGGTGGAGTCAGGCTGGAGGTAGGTATGGAACAGGGAAAGGTCTTTTTAGAGGAAGCTACCAAGGGCTGAGAGCAGTGTAGCTGAATGTGCTGAGGGGACAGGATTGACAGATATTCCCGATTTTCCACAGGAACGGGTTAGTAAATGCAATGTGTTTCTGTGTGTCTGTGTTATCAATGTCAGGTTCTGAAACATCCAAGATTCTGAATCTCTGCCTACTTGATTATCCGATGAGGGTGTAAGGATTTTAATCAAAAGAGACGTGCTTTAGAAAAGGAAGATGATTCTTCTCTAGAGAAAGATGGGGAGTTTAATCAGTTTAATTCTTTTCCTCACCCATTCTGTTAGACACTAGCTTCTACTAAGATTCCCAAAATTTAAGAGTAACATTGGGGAGGAGAGTGAAGGAACTTTCTCCATGCATCTCCAGTGCCTCAGATGCCTCAGGGCTCCTAGAAGTGTTAGAGCCTACGTAGCATCACTGTATGGTCAAAGTTGGGTTTTTGAGCCCTTGTACATAGAGCTGTAACAGGGTGTGTGGAAGGGCTATGGGAGGTGGAGGGAGCTGTAAAGGAGAGGGAAGCTCATTCCCCCCCTCCTCTAAAAGGCTACAGAGCTCTCTGAGGGTGAAAGTTTCAGAATTGATGCCTTTCTCTAACCAACCTTTCTATGCATTATCTTGACTCTGAAACAGACTGTTTTCATAGTTTCAGTTCTAAGTTATTAGAGTATGGGGCAGGTACTTAATTCTTAGGCTTGGAGCCTCCTTGTTTTTTGTTTTCTTTTTGTTTTTTCAATGTTTATATATTTTTGAGAGAGAACATGCATGAGTGGGAGAAGGGACAGAAAGAGGGGGTTTCTGAAGGGGTCTCTGCGCTAATAGCAGAGAGCTTGATATTGGGCCTCAAACTCAGGAACTGGAGATCATGACCTGAGCTGAAGTCAGAACTTAACTGACTAAGCCCCCCAGGTGCTCCACCTCCTTGGTTTTGGTTAGGTAGAAGCCTTAATTTAAGCTTTTCGGGAACTAGGATTAGCACTTTTGGTTCTGAAAAAAGCGAAGCATTTGAGGACCTTGTTCAGAATACTCAGAGCATTAGGGTCCTGTTCTGTTCCCCTCTCCCTTTCATGGAGAGAACCCTACATTTGTTTTCTTTCCCTGTCTCTACAGGCCTCATCATTTCTGTGTCCTGCTTCTACATATCTTATATCTCTCGTGGTCGGACCACTGGTGTGTGGACTTGTACATGATGAATTGTGAACTTCTAGCCACATGTAGTGCCCTTGGGTACTTAGAGGGAGACACTTACCACAAAGAACCAGATTGCTTAGGTGAGTACCTTTTGGAGAAAACAGGTACAAAACTTGCTTGAATCGAGGAGATCTGTAGAATTTCTCAAGTCCTGGGTATGAATAGCACATGGGCCAAGGGGGAGCTTCTTCCAGGGTTTCTTGTAAGTGTTTATTCTGTCCCTAAAGAGAGTGTAAAGGATTTGATCCGCTACTTGAGGCATGAGGATGACACTCGCGATGTGCGGCAACAGTTGGGGGCAGCCCAGATCCTGCAGAGTGACCTTCTACCCATCCTTACCCAACACGGCCAGGACAAGCCTCTCTTCGATGCTGTTATCAGGTTGGTTCCCCAGCGTTTTAACTTTTACCATGCACCAGCCCTTGGTGTTTGAGCTGATAGGTTTTGGTGGGGTTTGTTTTGTTTTGTTTTTGCTTTTTTTTTTTTCTAGTAAGTTTTTTGGTTTTTTTCCCTTTAATTTTAATTTTTTTTTAAATTTACATCCAAATTAGTTAGCATATAGTGCGACAATGATTTCAGGAGTAGATTCCTTAGTGCCCCTTACCCATTTAGCCCATCCCCCCTCCCACAACCCCTCCAGTAACCCTCAGTTTGTTCTCCATATTTATGAGTCTCTTATGTTGTGTCCCCCTCCCTGTTTTTATATTATTTTTGTTTCCCTTCCCTTACGTTCATCTGTTTTGTCTCTTAAAGTCCTCATATGACCTCAGTCATATGATATTTGTCTTTCTCTGACTGACTAATTTCACTTAGCATAATATCCTCCAGTTCCATCCACGTAGTTGCAAATGGCAAGATTTCATTCTTCTTGATTGCTAAGTAATACGCCATTGTGTGTAGATATACGTATATGTATATATATGTGTATATATACATATATATGGAGTATATATATATATATATATACACTCCATTGTAGTAATACTCCATTGTATACATATATGTATATATGTATGTGTATATATATATATATGTATATATACATAAATATATATATGTATATATACATAAATGTATATGTGTATATATATATATATATATATATAATACTCCATCTTCTTTAAATATTCATCCATCGATGGACATTTGGCCTCTTTCCGTACTTTGGCTATTGTTGATAGTGCTGCTATAAACATGGGGGTGCATGTGTCCCTTCGAAACTGCACACCTGTATCCCTTGGATAAATACCTAATAGTGCAATTGCTGGGTCATAGGGTAGTTCTATTTTTAGTTTTTTGAGGAACCTCCATACTGTTTTCCAGAGTGGCTACACCAGCTTGCATTCACACCAACAATGCAAAAGAGATCCTCTTTCTCCGCATCCTCGCCAACATCTGTTGTTGCCTGAGTTGTTAATGTTAGCCATTCTGACAGGTGTAAGGTGGTATCTCATTGTGGTTTTGATTTGTATTTCCCTGATGATGAGTGATGTTGAGCATTTTTTCATGTGTCAGTTGGCCATCTGGATGTCTTCTTTGGAGAAGTGTCTATTCATGTCTTTTGCCCATTTCTTCACTGGATTATTTGTTTTTGGGTGTTGAGTTTGATAAGTTGTTTATAGATTTTGGATACTAACCCTTTATCTGATATGTCGTTTGCAAATATCTTTGCTTTTGTTTTTTAATTTTTTTAATATATATATTTTTATGTTTATTTGTTTTCAAAAGAGAAGGAGAGAGCATGTGAGCAGTGGAGGGGCAGAGAGAGGGGAACAGAGGATCTGAAGTGGGCTCTGTGCTGACAGCAGACAACCCAATGCGGGGTTCAAACTCACAAATCACAAGATCATGACCTGAGCCCAAGTTGGACGTTTAACTGACTGAGCCACCCAGGCACTCCATGAACTGGTAGATTTTGGTGTTTGACTCTGGTGGGGAAATGTAAGAACATCTCCCTCTTTCATTGTTTCTCCAGGCTGATGGTGAACTTGACACAACCAGCTTTGCTCTGTTTTGGCAGTGTGCCCAAAGAACCAAGCTTTCGTCACCATTTTCTGCAGGTGCTAGCCTACTTGCAGGCCTACAAAGAGGTGAGGTTTTCCTTCAGAGTCCCTGGGGCAGAGGTTGGGGGCAGTAGGGAAGGAGAAGGTGGGTGCCACTTAAGGTCCATTCCCCTATCTTACAGGCCTTTGCCAGTGAGAAGGCTTTTGGAGTCCTCAGTGAAACTTTGTATGAGCTGCTACAGCTGGTGAGTGGGTCTCCACATTCCAGGATCCCAGGGGGCCATCAGTGTCTTGCTCCTCCTCTGGGCAGGGCGCCAGGCTGGGCATTGTCAGGACAGCACAGTTTGGAGATATGGCCCCAGTCCTTGCAGATGTATAGTCCCATCCATTGTCTCTGGCTGCCTCCAGAGTGCTTGAACTCTTTCCTTCCTTCTTTTTTTTTTTTCTTTTTTTAAAATGTTTATTTTTGAGAGAGAGAGAGAGAGAGAGAGAGAGAGAGAGAGAGAGACAGAGTGCGACCAGGGGAGGGGCAGAAAGAGAGGGACACATAGAATCTGAAGCAGGCTCCAGGCTCTGAGCTGTCAGCACAGAACCCCATGCTGGGCTCGAGGTCATGAACCGCAAGATCATGAATTGAGCCAAAGTCAGACACTTAACCCTGAGCCACCCAGGCGCCCCTCTTTTCTTCCTTCTTAATCCTGGTTCTCTTCTCAGCCTACGTCCCCCAGCCTGGGTAGATGCTGCCTGCCTTCCACAGGGAGTGTCTTCCTCTGACTGTCCTTCTGACTAGGGCTGGGAGGAACGACAAGAGGAAGACAACTTGCTGATTGAACGGATCCTGCTGCTGGTCAGAAATATTCTCCATGTTCCAGCCGACCTTGATCAAGAAAAGGTGAGAGGTTGTCTGCTTTCTTATGCTTGGTTAGGATGAGGTGCCCGTTTTTGCTTTTCTGCCCTCTGACAGGTCAGGGGGAACCTTGCTCAAGAGATGAGTTGGAGAGGGGCGCCTGGGTGGCTCAGTCGGTTGAGCGGCCGACTTCAGCTCAGGTCATGATCTCACGGTCCGTGAGTTCAAGCCCCGCGTCGGGCTCTGTGCTGACAGCTCAGAGCATGGAGCCTGTTTCAAATTCTGTGTCTCCCTCTCTCTGACCCTCCCCCATTCATGCTCTGTCTCTCTCTGTCTCAAAAATAAATAAACGTTAAAAAAAAAATTTTTTTTTTTTAATTAAAAAAATAAAAAAAATAAATAAATAAAAATTAAAAAAAAAGAGATGAGTTGGAGAACTTCAAGGCAGGGCAGTGAAACTGAATGACCACTCTTCCTCCCCTTATCACACTCACTGCTCAGAGGATCGATGATGACGCCAGTGTCCATGACCAGCTTCTCTGGGCAATTCACCTCAGTGGCCTGGATGACCTGCTTCTCTTTCTGGCCAGCTCACCTGCTGAGCAACAGTGGAGCCTGCATGTGCTAGAGATTGTATCCCTTATGTTTCGTGACCAGGTGAGTACCTGGCCTATTTCCCCAGTCCCTTCATCCATGTACTTTTCTGCTATATACCCAGAATTACTCTTGTAATAATGGCCGAATTATCTGGTGGCAGATGGGGAACAGAGTAGCTACCTCTTGAATATGGAGTACATTCAACAGTCCTATTTAATTCACCTTTTCTGTCCTCACTAGGATTGAACCTACAATAAGGAATGACAGTCCTTCTGACTCTTTCCTCCTTATTCCAAATCTAGAACCCTGAACAGCTGGCGGGAGTAGGACAGGGGCGCTTAGCTAAGGAGCGGAGCACAGATGTGGCAGAACTGGAGGTGTTGCGCCAGAGGGAAATGGCAGAAAAGAAGACTCGAGCCCTTCAGCGAAGCAACAGGTGAGTGGCAGGGATCTGCCCTACCCATGTTCCATCCCATCAGTATGGAATGCTAAGGCCAAAGGCTAAGATAGTGGTGATCAGATAACACTTTGCAATTACAGCAGGCTCTGATGTGCTGATGAAAGAGAATGGGGATAAAGCTTCCAGAGAATTTGAGGAATCACCCTGGACTTTTTTTTTTTTTTTTTACTGCAGACATTCTCGATTTGGGGGCTCCTACATTGTCCAGGGGTTGAAATCCATTGGGGAGAGGGACCTCATCTTTCATAAAGGTCTCCACAATGTGAGTATGCTCCCATCTTGGGTGAGAACACTGTGGAGTTAAAGGTACCTAAGAAACGTAAGCAAGTGGGGCAGCTGGCTGGCTCAGTCAGTGGAGCATGTGACTCTTTATCTCAGGGTTGTGAGTTCAAGCCCCATGTTGGGTGTAGGGATTACTTAAAATCATAAAAGTGAAAAAAAAGAGAGAAAGGTAAATAAGCCTCTCTGGAAGTAAAGCATCTCTGTTCCTGGGCTTAGAAAGTTGGAGACCGTAGGAGGGGCCCCTGGGTGGCTCAGTGAGTTGAGCGTCCACCTCTTGATTTTGGCTCAGGTCGTGATCTCATGGTTCGTTGGTTTGAGACCTATGTGAGGCTCAGTGCTCACAGTGCCAAGCCAGCTTGGGATCCTCTCCCTCTCTCTCCACCCCTTCCCTTCTCGTGCTCTCTCTCTCTTCCTCAAAAATAAATAAATAAACTTAAAAGAAAAGAATACTCATTTGTTTTTTTTTTTAATGTTTATTTTTGAGAGAGTGTGAGCAAGGGAGGGGAAGAGAGAGAGGGAGACACAATCTGAAGCAGGCTCCGGGCTGTCAGCACAGAGCCTGAGTGGGGCTCATACCCACCAACTGTGAGATCATGACCTGAGCCGAAGTCAGACGCTTAACCAACTGAGCCACCCAGGAGGCCCAAAAGAATACTCTTTAAAAAAGAAAGAAAGAGGGGCGCCTGGGTGGCGCAGTTGGTTAAGCGTCCGACTTCAGCCAGGTCACGATCTCGCGGTCCGTGAGTTCGAGCCCCGTGTTGGGCTCTGGGCTGATGGCTCAGAGCCTGGAGCCTGTTTCCGATTCTGTGTCTCCCTCTCTCTCTACCCCTCCCCTGTTCATGCTCTGTCTCTCTCTGTCCCAAAAATAAATAAACGTTGAAAAAAAAAAAAAAGAAAGAAAGAAAGTTGGAGACTGTAGGAGAAATAGAGCCTCTGGCATTATTGTCTTTACCTGTATCTTCATTTAGTACCAGAGGGAGAGAACCTTCTAAGAGTTTCTTCTGAGAAAATGGTTGCACTAGGGATGTGGAAAGAGCTGCAAGGGGAGGGTGGTAATGAGGAGTAATTCTGATCCCCCAACGTACACCCCCAGCTCCAAAACTACAGTTCAGATTTGGGAAAGCAGCCCCGAAGGGTGCCTAAACGTCGGCAGGCTGCCCAGGAGCTGTCCGTTCAGCGCCGCTCCGCCCTCAATGTGAGACTCTTCCTCAGAGACTTCTGCTCTGAGTTCCTGGAGAACTGTTATAACCGGCTCATGGGCTCAGTGAAGGTGAGAACCTAGGGAGGATGGGATAGGGAGGTGATGGGACCAGTGGTGGGTAAGAAGGGCAGCTGGGGAGGAGCCTGAAGGAGGCTGACCCCAGAGTGTGGACTAGAAGTTGGGCAAGGTATAGGGCACCCTTGAGAGATGGTGAGGATGTTAGGAAGGAGTGGGACAATTGGGACAGTTTTAAAAAAGCTTAGAGAAATTGCCCCAGAGGAAGGGGAAAGGAATGTGGAGAGACCTGGGGAGAACAAGAGAGGGTGGAAATTCTGGTCCTAGAATGTGGTTATAACGGTGTCTAGGGTTTATCCCATCGTCATAGGACAAGGAGAAAGTTGGAAGCCCTGGGGTCACAGGGTGGTCTTTTTCTCCTCGACATTAGGATCACCTGCTGCGAGAGAAGGCTCAGCAGCATGATGAGACCTACTACATGTGGGCCTTGGCTTTCTTCATGGCCTTCAACCGAGCTGCCTCCTTCCGGCCAGGCCTGGTTTCTGAGACCCTCAGTGTCCGTACCTTCCACTTCATTGAGCAGAACCTCACCAACTACTATGAAATGATGCTGACGGACCGCAAGGAAGCTGCCTCCTGGGCACGTCGGTGAGTGGGATGAGAACTGGGGTCAGAGTGGGCATCTCAGCTAGGTTGGGAATCTGAGTTCCTGAATTCCAGGTGGTACTTTCTTCCTGTTTCAGGATTAAGGTGGTAAGGATGGGGAGCAGGGACTGGCTGGGTCATTCTTTTTGATGGCACCTTTTTTAGGGAAGGTTTAGAAGTGGTACGTTTTCCATGAGCCAATTTCCTAAGTTGTCCTCCATTTCTCCTCTTTTCCTCATCTCACAGGATGCACCTGGCCCTGAAGGCCTATCAGGAGCTGCTGGCCACAGTGAATGAGATGGACATGTCCCCAGATGAGGCTGTGAGGGAGAGCAGCCGCATCATCAAGAGTGAGACCCTGGCCTGTCTCTGACCCTGGCCTTTCCTATCTCTTGACCACAATCTCACTCTTTGCAGTCCCAACTTCATCCATCTCTCCCTTTACCAAAGTTTCCAGACCAATCCATCCATTCCTTTCTCTTCTCCATTCCTAGACAACATTTTCTATGTGATGGAGTACCGAGAGCTGTTCCTGGCACTCTTTCGAAAGTTTGATGAGAGATGTCAGCCACGCTCTTTCCTTCGTGACCTGGTAGAAACCACTCACCTCTTCCTCAAGATGTTGGAGCGGTTCTGTCGGAGCCGTGGGAACCTGGTGGTGCAGGTACTGGGCAGCCCCGGCATGTGGACAGTTTGGAAAGAGCCATGAGGGAAGGGTCAGAGAACAGGGAACTCTCCTCATATTTCTGCAGCTTAAGCTCACCTGTTAGAACTACTCTGAACTAAGGAGGGCAAAGGGTTTGTTGGTGTTGCTGATGTGAGTCTACTATAGTTTCCTTTTTTCATTTAGATTTATTTCCAGTGTAACATAAATATTTTAATTCATTTAGGAAGCATTTATTAAATACCTACTGTGTGCTAAGCACATAAACTATGGGGATTCACAGTTTTAGAGTTTAGTAATTATGCTGTGATCCTTCTTGGTTATACTTCAGAAGCATTGTAGTAAGATGGAAAGAACCCTAAATTAAAAGCCAGAAGGTCTGGGATCTCATCCTATATTAGTTACCGTTAGAATAACTCAACCTGCTCATATGGGTCCCCAGATCCCTAAACGTGGGATTGTAATATGAGCTTGAAATGAAATAAAAGATTAAAGACGTGCAAGACCACATTGGGGAGGGACAGAGAGAGGAGGAGAGAAAGAGAGTCCCAAGCAGGCTCTCTATCAGCATAGAGCCTGGCTCAGGGCTTGAACTCATGAAAGGTGAGATCATGACCTGAGCCAAAATCAAGAGTTGGATGCTTAAACCAAGTTAGCCACCCAGGTGCCCCTTTTTTGGGTAGAATTTCTTATCCTCATTGTAAATCTGTTCATTTTACAGGCTTGGTTAAGCTAGAACTGCTTTTGGGAAATCTCTGATCCCAAGAAATAAGTTAAATACTACTCTTAAGTTTTGCCATGGCATTTTATGCTCAGCCATATTCTAGGTCTTACCCATACTGTACTATAATTTACCTATCTACCCACCTGTCTCAAGATTCCACTAGATTGTATGCTCCTCAAGGGCAAGGAAATACACTGTTCACTGTTGCATCCCTATTGCTTATGAATAGCACACAGTTGTCATTCCGTGACTATTGATTATTAATTAATTCAGACCTCTGGTGAATGAATTAATAGAGAAGACATTGATGGGAAAAAGTCTTCTTAGCTTTTCTGTCATCCTAACAATGGTTCTTTCTCCATAGAACAAACGAAAGAAAAGAAAGAAGAAAAAGAAGGTCCAAGATCAGCCTGTTGCTTCTGGTAATGTCTCCTATAGCACAGGGGAACTAGAAGCTATGTGGCCATCCCTGGCCGAGCAGCTACAGTGCTATGCCCAGGTAGGTAGTTGCAGAAAGTCTATCTTTCTCAAGGGTAGTGCACCGATAGGCTGTCTCGGTTTCCCTCCTCTGTTCCCATAGCCTTAATCCCTCTCTAGGATCCTGAGCTCAGTTTGGACTCCATGGTTCCCTTTGATGCGGCCTCAGAGGTGCCAGTGGAAGAGCAGCGGGCAGAAGCCATGGTGCGGATCCAAGACTGTCTCCTGACTGGCCAGGCCCCACAGGCCCTAACCCTCCTTAGGTCTGCCCGGTAAGAACCCTGCTCATCCCTTCTCCTGGATTCAGCTCCTGGATTTCGGGGGTAGGGGGAGGCATTCACTGTGGTACAAGGTTCTTTGCCTTCAATTGAGAGAAGTCCCATCAGAAGCATGGGGGCTCTGTACTGAGCACTGAGTCCTGGGGAGCTTGGATTGGCTTTGTGGGGTTTTTGTTGTTTGTTTTTAAATGTTTATTTATTTATTTTTGGAGAGAGTGTGTGAACAGGGGAGGGGCAGAGAGAGGGAGACAGAGAAACCCAAGCAGGCTCCACTCTGTCAGCTCAGAGCCTGACATGAAGCTCAAACCCACAAACTGTGAGATTATGACTTGAGCCGCAATCAAGAGTCCGACACTTAACTGAGTGAGCCACCCACGCCCCCCTGCTGTTTGTTTTTATTTTATTTTTGAGAAATATCAGAAAGCACAATTAATTGGGGGGAAAATATAGATAATTCTATTGGCTGAAGATAATCATCATTAACATTTTGATGAGTAATCTTCCAGGCTTTTTAATCTTCTGTGTTGTATATAGATCTATACAGCTTCTTTTACAAAAATGAAACATTGTATATGCTGTTTTATAGTATTTTTTTACTTCTTAATATATTGTGAGGATTTCTTAAGAGATACGAGATATATTGCCATAATTGTTAATGGCATCATGAAATGTACATTTGTTCAACCAAATGTCAGACATTTAGATTGTTTGCATGGTGATATTCATTGCAATGTGGCTTATTTTTATTAAAAATTTTTTTCTTAATATTTATTTATTATTATTGAGAGACAGAGAGAGATAGAGCATGAGCATAGAAGGGGCAGAGAGGAGGAGACACAGAATCCAAAGCAGGCTCCAGGCTCTGAACTGTCAGCACAGAGCCCCATGCAGGGCCCAAACTCACAAACCGCAAGATCATGATCTCAGCTGAAGTTGGACACTTAACCGACTGAGCCACCCAGGCCCCCTAAAATTTTTTTTAATGTTTCTTTATTTTTGAGAGAGAGAGAGAGAGAGAGAGCATAAGTGGGGGAGGGGGAGAGAGAGAGAGGGAGACACAGAATCTAAAGCTGGCTCCAGGCTCCAAGCTGTCGGCACAGAGCCCGACGCGGGGCTCAAACCCACGAACCGTTAAGATCATGACCTGAGCCGAAGTCAGATGCTTAACCAACTGAGCCACCCAGGTGCCCCTCGTTGCAATGTGGCTTATGAGGGAAAATTTCCCCAGAGTCTTTGTTTTATCTTTGAGTGACAGTTTGCATTCTCTTTCTGGCTGCAAATGAAATTCCTTCTCTCACTTCTCACTTCAAATTATAACTCATATTCTCCCTGGTTAAGGTCTTTTTTTTCTCTGGGCTTCAGGGAGGTGTGGCCAGAGGGAGATGTGTTTGGCTCTCAAGACATTTCTGCAGAGGAAGAGATCCAATTGCTGAAACAGATTCTCTGTGCCCCGCTTCCCCGTGAGTCTCCATTTCCTTCACATCTCTGTCCTTCCAGTTCTTTTCTAGAACCAGCATCACAGAGATCCAATAATCCTCGGTCTTTCTTTTTTGTTTTCTGTTGGTTTTTTTTTTAAAGTTTATGTATTCATTTTGAGAGAGACAGAGAGCAAGCGGGGGAGGGGCAGAGTAAGAGGGAGAGAAAGCATCCCAAGCAGTCTCTGCACTGTCAGCGCAGAGCCCGATGTGGGGCTCGAACCCATGAAACAGGAGATCATGACTTCAGCCAAAACCAAGAGTCAAGTACTTAACCGACTGAGCCACCCAGGCGCCCCTAATTCTCACTCTTCCTATAGGGCAACAGGGGTCAGAGGAACAAGGGGCAGAGGAAGAGGAAGAGGAGGAGGAGGAGGAGGAGGAAGAGTTGCAAGCGGTCCAGGTGTCAGAAAAAGAATTTAATTTTCTGGACTACCTGAAACGGTGCGGGCTGAGCAGACTGAGTTGGTCCCAGGTTGGCGACTACAGAGCTGGGAGGGCCATCACTGTCTTTCTCGTGCTGACAGCCTCTTTCTCTGTGTCTTGGTGCAGTTTTGCAAGCTCAACTGTTGTGCGAGCCTACGTGCTGCTGCTGCGGAGCTACCGACAGAACAGTGCCCACACTAACCACTGCATTGTCAAGATGCTGCACCGGCTGGCCCATGACCTCAAAATGGAAGCCCTCCTTTTCCAGCTCTCCCTCTTCTGCCTCTTCAACCGTCTGCTTAGTGACCCAGCTGCTGGGGCCTATAAAGTGAGGGCATACCAAGGAACAGGGATGGAGAGGCATAGGGGGGTCCGGGGGTAATGAAGGGTAGTCTGCAAGAGATAAAGGGTGCTGAGTGATGTCAAGGGCTAAGAGAGGAGAGATCGGTGAGGAAGTAGGCAGGCAGGTGGACGGAGCTGGAGGGGCAGGGTAGGGGAGTCTGAGTGAGGAGAGGCAGCTGGGAATAGGTAGAAAATGGCTGGAGGGCCTGGTTTATATGTCCATTTAGGCCAGAGGTTTCACAGCAGCTTCCTCATCCCACAGGAGCTAGTGACTTTTGCCAAGTACATCCTGGGCAAGTTCTTTGCGTTGGCTGCAGTCAACCAAAAAGCCTTTGTGGAGCTGCTGTTCTGGAAGAACACAGCTGTGGTTCGAGAGATGGCCGAGGGCTATGGCTCTCTGGATGGCGGGTGAGCTTCAGGATGGGAAAGGATGGGCAGTAATGGTGGGTGACACAGTCACAGACTGTCAAAGCTGGAAGAGCTTGCAGATCAGATAGTCTGACTTTCTTCCTCTTTAATAGGTGAAAAAATAAGCTCCCAAGGTGAATTGCTTTCCCTGAGATCACCCAAGAGAGGAAGTGGGTCTGGAGCCTATCTCCTGTCTGCTCTAGTTTCCTTCCTTCACCAGCCTTCGTGGGGATGGTCAGTTGGCAGTGAGGTGGCCCTTGTCCCAAAGGTGCCCTGTCCCAAAATGTGCTGGGAAACCATAAAGATTCATGGAAATGTTTGCCTCTTTCCCTGTAGCTCAGCTCCTCTCCTTTCCCCATAATCTGCTCAGCCCCTGCAGTGTCCGCTTCCGTAGGCCCAACCCAGAAAATCTCTTCATTTGGCCTTTGGGTTCATAAGTGGAAGGAGAATGAAGGAAAGGAAGCACACCTTAGGCCACTGCTAGTGGCTCCTTTCAGTCACCTGCGTTGTCCTTCTTGTTCCTTTTGGAGCTGACCAAAGAGGGCCTTTGGTCTCCTCTTTGGGGCCAACATCCTACATGTTCCCTTTCTCCTTTCCCCATTTGTCAATTTATTTTTATTTTTATTCATTTATTTTTTTAACATTTATTTATTTTTGAGACAGAGAGCATGAGCAGGGGAGGGGCGGAGAGAGAGAGGGGCACAGAATCCGAAGCAGGTTTCAGGCTCTAAGCTGTCAGCACAGAGCCTGACACGAGGCTGTAACTCACAGACCATGAGATCGTGACCTGAGCCAAAGTCAGATGCTTAACTGACTGAGCCACCCAAGCACCCCTATTTTTATTTTATTTTATTTAAGTTTATTTATTTATTTTGAGAGAGAGTTTGTGCATAGGAGGAGCAGAGAGAGAGGGAGAGAGAGACTTCTAAGCAGGCTCTGCACTGTCAGTGCAAGCAGCCTGATGCGGGGCTCAAACTTGAAAACCCATGAGATCACGATCTGAGCCGAAATCAAAGTGTGTGATGCTTAACTAATTGAGCCACCCAGGCACCCCTCCTTTCCCCATTTAGATCTTCCAGTCGCAGACCCCCGGTGTGGAGCCCAGAGGAGGAGGCCCAGCTTCAGGAACTGTACCTCGCCCATAAGGATGTGGAAGGTATGAGTCCTTGAGATCTGAAGATTTTTGAAGCAGGCAGCCTGAGCTCCAGGACCCCTCTTTACTGCCTCACTCCCCCTCCACGTTAGGTCAGGATGTGGTAGACACCATCTTGGTGCACCTGAAAACCCCTCGGACACGCAAGCAAGTTATCCACCATCTGGTACGGCTGGGACTGGCTGACAGTGTCAAGGGCTTCCAAAGGTAGAGGCACATGTTCTGGAGGGCATTGAAATTGGGAGTCCTCGGTCCTCAGTTTGCTCCCTGGGCCCCCTCTTCCACTGACGTCTCCTTAAGCAGGAAAGGAACCCATATTGTACTGTGGACAGAAGATCAGGAGCTGGAGCTGCAGCGGCTTTTTGAGGAGTTCCAGGACTCAGATGGTGAGTGGAAACTCAGGGAACCTTGGAGATGAGAGAGCCGAGCTGGCCATTGCTTCCCCCTGCCTCCTGTTCCCAAGAGACGGCTTATCTCATTCCTTCTTTCCACTTACCATACCTGTGGTGTCATTTGTGAGTGAATTGAATTAGCCTCTTTCCAAAGACCTCTGCTGTCTTTCACTCCTCCGTTTCCCCTGTTGCTTTGGGGAACTTACACTTTCTCTCTTTGTAGATGTGCTAGGTCATATCATGAAGAATATCACAGCCAAACGCTCACGGGCCCGAATAGTGGATAAGCTGCTGGCTCTGGGGCTGGTGGCTGAGCGGCGGGAGCTATATAAGAAACGCCGGAAGAAGCTGGCACCCTTGAGCTCGGTAACAGTCTTTCCCTGGCTCTGCAGGCTGGGCCCACTCCCCCTGAAGTGCCCCTCAGAGGTAGCTCACCCAGATTCTTCCTGCCTTAAGCTCTCTGGCTAGGTGTCTTCCCCTCCACACACACACACACCCCACCAGTTTCCAGGAGTGGTCAAGAACCAACGGACTCCACTCAGTTCTTCATCTTGTTTCCTTTTTAGCCTAATGGAGAGGAGTCCCTGAAAGATTTTTGCCAGGAAGATCTGGAAGAAGAGGAAATCCTGCCAGAGGAAGAGAGTGAAGAAGATGAAGAGAAAGAGGAGGACTCAGAAGCAGAGCAAGCCCAGGGTAGCTCAGTGCTTTCAACTGAAAACCTTGGGCAAAGCCTGTATCAGGAAGGTGAGGACTTGGCCTACGAGAGATGTCTCAGGTGGAGGGGTTGGTAGTATGGGCCAATTCTAAGTTTCCCTCCTTCCCTTAGGCTTTTCTGCTCCCCTTCTGTGGCTCCAGAACTGCCTGATTCGAGTAGCGGATGATCGAGAAGAGGATGGTGAGTGGATAAATGATGGTTTTCGGGGCTGGGGTACTGGAGGCTGCTGGAGAGCTGGCCGTGGGATGGATGACCAGTTCTTTCTTCAAAACTTCACCACATGACTACTGGCCCTATTCTAGGCTGCTCGCAGGCAGTGCCTTTGGTGCCGTTGACAGAAGAAAATGAGGAAGCAATGGAAAATGAACAGTTTCAACAGCTGTTGCGCAAGCTAGGAGTTCGGCCTCCTTCCTCTGGGCAGGTAAGTATGCCAGTTACGGTATCAGCTATGGCATATTACTGCTATTTTAAAATACGTACATCTCTTTCTCCTCGTTGCAGTTGCCATCTCTGACCTCATTTCCTATCAACTTTGACCGAGACTCCTGCAGCAGCCATCCTGTTCATCTTCTCTAATCTCGCCTTCCCCTAGTCCATCTTCCATGTTGTCCTGAGTTTCCCTCATCCCTTCCTCCCTTCCTTCCTTCCTTCCCTTTTTATTTTCTTTTTATTTTTCCCTTATTTTTTTTTTTCAACGTTTATTTATTTTTGGGACAGAGAGAGACAGAGCATGAACGGGCGAGGGGCAGAGAGAGAGGGAGACACAGAATCGGAAACAGGCTCCAGGCTCTGAGCCATCAGCCCAGAGCCTGATGCGGGGCTCGAACTCACGGACCGCGAGATCGTGACCTGGCTGAAGTCGGACGCTTAACCGACTGCGCCACCCAGGCACCCCTATTTTTCCCTTATTAAGTAGGCTCCATGCCCAGTGTAGAGCCCAGTGTGGGGCTCAAACTCGCAACCCTGAGATCAAGACCTAACCACCTGAGCCACCTAGGCACCCCACAAGTTACCTTTCTAAAGTGGAATTTTGATTGTATTACTCCCCTGTCCATTACTTCCCTTTCTCTCCAGAAGAGATTATATTACTCTCCTGAACCAACCAACTGGATGGTTCTTTCTGCACTGTTGGCAGGACAGAGTCCTTGACCTCTGAGTGGCATGCTTGGCCTTGACCAGCCTTTGCAGCCTCATGGCCACGCCACCCACACACCTGTGTTTCCCCATCCTCCTCCTGGACTACTTTCTATTCTCCAAACAGTAGGCTTCTCATATATCCACACAGTTGATCGTGCCAGTCCCTCCATTGGACGGCTCCAGCCACGCATACAAGGTGACACACACATCACCCATCTTCCTGACGACCCTCCGCTCGACCTTCAAGAGTCTATTCAGTTCTTACCTCCTCAGAGAAGCAGTCCCTACCACTCCTTCAACCTCTAAAGTGAAAGTAATAACTTTGGTAGCTGGGATTTATTCATTCCCTTCATGTAGCCCCCATCCTGTGAGATTACAGTATGTTGGTTCTTTCTCCCATTAGATTGTGGGTTCCTTGAAAGCAGGGATCATATCTGATTTATCTTTGCATCCCCAATACCCATTCATTCATTTATTTTGTTTTTGTTTTTGTTTTTGTTTTTTTTAATTTTTTTTCAACGTTTTTTATTTATTTTGGGGACAGAGAGAGACAGAGCATGAATGGGGGAGGGGCAGAGAGAGAGGGAGACACAGAATCGGAAACAGGCTCCAGGCTCCGAGCCATCAGCCCAGAGCCTGACGCGGGGCTAGAACTCACGGACCGCGAGATCATGACCTGGCTGAAGTCGGACGCTTAACCGACTGCGCCACCCAGGCGCCCCTATTTTGTTATTTAAAAAAATTTTTTTAATGTTTATTTTTGAGAGAGAGAGACAGAGCAGGGGTGGGGCAGAGAGAGAAGGAGACAGAATCTGAAGCAGGCTCCATGTTCTGAGGTCTTAGCACAGAGCCTGACTCAGGGCTTGAACCCATGAACTGTGAGATCATGACCTGAGCTGAAGTCTGATGCTCAACCAACTGGGCCACCCAGACACCCCCATTCATTCATTTATTTAATTAACAACTGAATTTACTGGGAGCTTTGTGCTGTATGAGGCACTGTACTAGACATTGTGCATATACTGGATAAATAAGCAATAAGTAGAGTTTATTCAATGAATCATATTTTTCAATGAATATTATCAAGATCGGGTGAAGTAGAGTCTGCTCCTTTCCTACTGCTTTCATTTTCAACTTGTTTGCACCTGTAGGAAACCTTCTGGAGGATTCCAGCCAAGCTGAGTCCTTCCCAGCTCCGGAGGATAGCAGCTTCTTTGAGTCAGCCAGAGGAGGAGCAAAAACTTCGGCTAGGACTAGAACCGAAAGTCCCTGGAGAGCAAAACCCTGAGGAGGAGCACCAAAGGGAACAGCGAGCACAAGCCCTGAGGGCCCTCCAATTGGCCCGGAAAAAGAAAGCTGGCCCGGTGTCCCCCAGCGGTAAGACCACTTACCTGTTGGGTACTAACTATGGGCTAGCCATGTTGATCTAGAGGGCTGATAGGGTATTTTGAGAAGATGAGGGCCCAGTTCTCTAATTCCATGCCTCTCATGGTCATCTCAGGGGAAGGGACCACTGGTGAGAAAGAACAGCTGCAAATGGTACCCAGGAAGCGACAACTGCTGGACAGCGATGAAGAACAGGAGGAGGATGAGGGCAAGAACAAAGGTAGGGAGTCTGACAGGGACCTGCTTTTTCTTCTGACCTCTAGCACTCTTCCCTTCAATCCCGAAGATCAGTGCTACTGTCCTTCTTTCCCCATAACATATTTAGATTCTCTCTCTCTTCTCACCCCTTTCATTCCCATAGCACTAGAATCCAGAGCTCCAGGAATCCAAAAGAAGAAACGGTTTCAAATTGAGGATGAAGATGAGAATGACTGAAGGGCCAGAAGCTTTGGGGTAGAGGTAGATCATTTTTAGGTGGCGAATTTCAGTCAGACTTCAGAAACAGGACCCAGAAACTGCTCTTAGTAGACAGAAGCAGTAGAGTCCTGGGCTTCCCCAGGGATTTGGGGTCCAGGAATTTCCGGCAACAGTGTTGGGACAACTCTGCAATCACTTCTTGCGTCTCCCAGTTTTAGCAGTATGCCTCAGTAGCTCTCCAGAGACTTACCTCTCTTTTTCTAGGATCTGTTTCTTTGGGTTAGTAGCACCCCTTAGAAAATCGGAGGAGTGAGTGAGATATAGAAGGCACCTGGGACCCTGTTTGGCTTTCTGCCAGAGGTGGGTCACAGCACCAGATGGGGAGCTTTGTGACATGATGGGTGGGGGTGTTGCACCATTTTAAAAAAGCACCAGATGCTCCCATCCTCATTTTCTTTCCTGTGATCACTCCCAGGCACCAGATCGAACCCAATTCCTGTGGTTTAGGTAGGGTTGGGATGCAGTACTCTTGAGATGATGAACGTGTTTGGTTTGTGTTTGGTATTACATTCAATGTGTAAAGTTAAAAGTTGCCAATGTTGATGTGATGTGCCAATCTGTCTAAGTCTCCCAGCCTTCCACCTGCTATGTTCTTGGAAGAAGAGCCTTTAACTTTTAGGGTTAAAAGAGGCCATCACCCTTCCCTTTTCTCCTGCTTTCCCTACAGAAGACATGAAAACATTCTCACCTCAAGATCCTTTGTCTAGGATAAATCTTCAGGATGACAAGTGTATACAGCAGGAAGAAGCAGGAGCCACAAAGGGTGCAAGAGCCAGTTTTCCAGCATGGAGCAGAGTGGAGGATAAAGTCTGGGCAAGAAAGAGATGAATAAATACTGCAAATGCTGTGTCTTTTCCTGTTCTTGGAAACCATCAGCTTTCTGGCTCCCCATGTTTCTAGCTAATGTGGGATGAAAGAGACATTCCAAAAATAGCTATTGAGATCAGGGATAGCCCTAGGTAAAGGATGCATTTGGATTGTCTTGTTCTTCTGACTTGGTTTTTTTCCTCCCACAGCCTCTAAAGATAGGAGTGAAGCTACCTCTGGGTAATTGAAGTTTCCAAGGGCTAAGACATTTCCTAGCTTGGTCTGGTCTTGGTGTATCTTTATCCCAAGCCTTTCCCTACTTCCCAACCTGAGCACTTCAGCAGGGCCGTTCCGGCTCCCTTGTTGTGTCTTGCTGTCCACATTGGCTGTCTTTCCAAGAAATGCCCCCAAAGGGGCTCTGACCTGCCAGGCTTCTTTGAAACAAGTATAGACCATTTGCTGTGATTGGGCACAAAAGTGTTGCTATCCTTTTCCATTTATTTACCCTGTAGTTTTGAAATTTTTAAATGAAAAGAGGAATAAAAAGCTACTTTTACATATTTGAGTCATGGCCATCTGATTCTCACTCTAGATCTCCCTGGATCTCTGTGTTGAACTAGAGTGGGAATGTGGGAGGGAGAGGCAGATACTGCTAACAGAAATTTCAGGTTACTGGGGAGTGTCTGAGACCGGACAAACTCCAGTCAGTCAATACATGTGCAGTTCAGATCTTCCAGGAAGAAGAGGCGTAGGTGGAATTAGAAATGCAAGAGATTTGTTGGGGAAATGTTTTTGAAGGATAAAGGGGAGATAGAGCAGTGTAGATTGGGAGAGCCTATAGCCCATGATGGTGGTCAGATGCCTGTGAGAGGAGAAAGGGGAAAATCGCAGTGTTACTCAGAAAATCTTGTCCGACTGTCGGGGAGCCCCAAGCAAAGATTACCTGGTTGAGGAGCCCCATATCTGGCAGACACGGGCTAGCCCTAGCACCCTCCACCAGTTATTGGCTCCGAGCAGCCTGGAGAGAATGACGTGGGTGTGACTGCAGAAAATCCTAAGGAGTCAAAACTTAAGATGTCAGCTGAATAGACTCTTTACTGCATGTTCTTTTGAAGGGAGCTCTGAACAGAACGTTGCAGTACAAACGTGCAAACACTTGGCACAGTCGTGTCTCCCACTGATCACTGAGGCAAGCAGCCATTCCCTTTGTTCCCCTCCTACAAGACAGTACTGGGAGCGGAGCAACCTACTGGAAAGGCACACATCTCACTAAAGGGTAATTTGGGGCTCTTGCATTTAAGTAGAAAATGAAACAGAGAAGTCCCTGGTGACCTAGGAATAAGAGAAGCCAAGTGAGATCAATTGTGTTCCATTTCCCATTCCATGGACCCTAACTAAAAGGTACAGCCTAGAGGTGATGCATAAGTGAAACTTTATTTTCTAGCTCCCACTTCAGCAATAGTTTGATCGTTCATTGCTACATGTTAACACTCTATAGCTGCCATTTCATATGGAACCCAGACAAAGGTCCTGATGTCCTTTCCTTCATCCCCAGGATCCCAGCCACCCTCTGCACACCCCTGATTCTGTTAGACTTGGCCCCTAATGTTCCTGCCTGGCCTTATCCACATGGCCTCTCTACCCAAGATCTAATAGGCCTGGCACCAGGGAAGCCCTGGAGCAAGCTGGCTTTACCAAACTGATGCCTGGACCCACAGCTTTAGCTCTATAGTCTGGGATGTGTAAAAGTACATAGACCCACACCCACTAGCTCTAAGGACTCTGGAATAGCAGAGCGCAGCGGGGAGAGTATTGTGTGGTACCTTGGCCCCTGTTCTGCAGGTGTTGGACTCAGGGAAGGCCACATGTGTCTGCCCCACTGAGGACTGGGAGCTGGAGCAGCCTGAGCACAATGAGGTCCCGTCGTTGACAGGAGTAGAACCCTACTATAAACTGCACAGCTTTATACTATACTGCTTAGAACTGCTCAGAGGCCGATAGATGACTGAGATGAGGCCATAGGCCTGGATTATGACCTTCTGATAATTGTGATGGTTAGGACCGATACAGTTGTTGGTCAGCTCTGCATTTAAGCCTGTGGTAAGGGCTGAGGTTTAGCTCCAGTGTTACTATGAGAAACAGCCTCTTCCAGAGACAAGGGAGCAGAGCTTAGGGGAACCTTGGATGTGAGTGACCTGGAAGAAACAACTACCATGACCTCAAAGGGGCAGGTGTCAGAGGTAGTAAGTTGAGCTCTCTGCTGGTGATGGGTCTTGTTTAAGCGCTATAACTTAGAGCCTGGGACTGGGAGTTTTGTGCTAGAAGAAAACTAGATAGGCATAGAAGGAATGAATTCTAATTTTTTGATAAGCTGTGTGGCATTCAAAATCCAAAATAAACATTAGCTCTGATACCTATAGGATATACAGTGATGAAATATACAGTAGTTAAAAAGCATGCTAATTTAAATTTGTCTAACAGTTTTGTTTCATGGCCCAGATGTGGGGTGTGTGTGTGTGTGTGTGTGTATTTTTTTTTTAAGTATTTATTTTGAGAGAGAGAGCACGCACAAGCAGGGGAGGGGCAGAGAGAGAGAGAATCCATCCCAAGCAGGCTCCACACGGTCATTGCAGAGCCCGACGCGGGGCTCAAACTCCTGAACCATGAGAGCATGACCTGAGCCGAAACCAAGAGTTAGACACTTAACCAGCTGAGCCACCTACGTATATCTTGGTTGTGGTGTATCTTGGTGAGTGTTCTATAGGTGCTTGAAAAGAATGTGATTTTGGGGCGCCTGGGTGGCGCAGTCGGTTAAGCGTCCGACTTCAGCCAGGTCACGATCTCGTGGTCCGTGAGTTCGAGCCCCGCGTCAGGCTCTGGGCTGATGGCTCGGAGCCTGGAGCCTATTTCCGATTCTGTGTCTCCCTCTCTCTCTGCCCCTCCCCCGTTCATGCTCTGTCTCTCTCTGTCCCAAAAATAAATAAAAAACGTTGAAAAATTTTAAAAAAAAATAAGAAAAGAATGTGATTTTAAGGTAAAATTCACATAACACTTCATCATTTTAAACATTTTAGAGGCACCTGGGTGGCAGCTGTTGGTGAAGGAACTTAAGAGAATGAGCCATACACTACATTGGTTCCACCCCCAGAGTATACCCCTCCTTATTTCTGACCTTGACTCCTACAGTATCTGACCCTCTAAGGCTCCTCGTCTCAGTCTCCTTTTCCCTGTCATTCATTTCCCTTTCTACCTGCAGAATTCCTTTTAAAACATGGTTGTCGTCATGACTTTACTTTGCTCAAGAGCACTTCATGGTTTCCCATTTCTTTCAGGACAGAGTCTGGACCCAGAATAGCATACTTGATCTGAGCGAGTCTCTGCATCCTCACCACCATGTCTGACTATGCCCATATTTTAAACTGTTGCCCCTTGCCGCTAAATTTTTTTAAGATTTTATTTATTTATTTATTTATTTATTTATTTATTTATTTATTTATTTAT